CCGACGGGGACTAATAAACAATCTGTTGTATACGCCACATGGAACTCAAGTTTCAAGGACACACTCGCGACAACCCCTCCGCTTTAATATGATGAGCACAAAGAGAACTTTCAAAAATTTAACGGGGACTGTGTCATTTTCAATGACTTGTTATAATATGGTAAGTTTTAAAAGTGGTCAACAAATTCAGCATTTAGACAAAACAAACCAGTATCAAATCACACAATCCATACAAAAATGCGACTACAATAGTTGAAATGATATATATCTCATACATTTATCTTTTGTAATAAGGTATCCATTTGGGCTGTCTGAACAGGGTATATTTGATGTATATGTATTCGGGAAGAACTAATTATTGATAACATGCATAACACATACACATAAAAAATAAAAAACTCACCGAGCTGATGATAAGAAATATGATTGTACAAAATAATAAAGAATAATAACAGGGGCCACTGCACCAATAAATATTGGAGTCACCACAGCACTGACAACGATAGCTGATATACAGGGAAGTGATGCCTGTATTATCTGGACTGTCGTCTTCCATAGCCGCTGTAAAAATAAAAACAAGCCAGCTGAATAAAATTTAACACAAATATTGATAATAATTGATTTGATATGACACATTTTAAAATTATTTATGGCGCACAGCTCGTCGTCAATCCGGAAACCACTAACTATGACACCTATATACATCTGTACACTAAGTATCATAATGATATGTGTAAATAACTCACCTGATCTATAACCTGTGTATCAGTTGAAAACCTATTCAATATACGACCGAGTGGGGTTGTATCAAAGAATCTCATTGGCGCATGAACAATATTACGTAACAGTCTGATATACATTCTTCTAATGGCAAATAACGAACAGATAATGATAATGGCGACTGTTAACAAATTGAAACCGGCAAAGCCGAACGACAACGCTGCATATCCATTGAGATAATAGTCCAATTCTTCTTCCAATTGAGCCTTCATTAAATGAAAAAAGTCAGTTCAATGTAAAATTGCGTGCATATATTACTATTGAAATTAAATACGAAAAATTGACTGTTTATTTTTAAAATATATTTTAAAAACTTGGTTGAATAATGGATGATATACCAAGAAGATTCAAGTACATACATACCTCTGTCTTGTTATCGATATTAACACCTGCCTCCGACCATTCTGATAGCCAGAAATTGTTTACAATATGTAGAGCTGTTTGCGTGATGTATAATATACATATCAAGAATACAAATGGATATTTTATTGCTCTGGCATAAGACAAATACATGTGCAATGATACAGAACCTGTTTCCCGTTCTTCTTTTACAATTAATAACCCTACAGAGAAAATAGTAACACGATGTCCATGTGTATCACAGTCACTCGTCTGGGAATGTATAAAGCGAATCAACAATTGGTATATACAGTAACAGTAACAAAGACAAATGATATTGAATAATTGGAAGTATTGGAAACGTGTCCATGTTTTTGTAAGTTTTTTATACTCTAAGCTTCTCTCACCCACTCAAGCCGAACATAAATATGGATGTATATTATCATGAATTATGAATGGTATCTTTATGACACTTCGTACACACATCTTACCATCTTCCTGAATACCATCAACACTTTGATTGGACATTTGTTTTACGACATCAAGCAAATGTTTACGTTCCGTGTTCACATCTTCCCCTTCTGACTGACTAGCTTCAGATTCTGTGATGACAGTAATAGACTTTTGCCAGTCGCTGTATAGTTCTGGACTGTGTCTTCGAATTTCTTTTAAATCACCTTGACGAGCAACAGTGCAATCCTCCATGATGACAACCTGTTTTATTTTTCAGTTATAGCTGTTATAGCTTTCGTTATCAAGATACATTGCTGTATACATACAACTGTTTACTTATGCATGCTACTGTCTGGATAGACCTACAATATATATCATTTGACTTTCATATCCTTGCGGGATTGCGATGCATCATGGTTAGCAGGGGACACCATATCAAAGTTATAATTACCTGATCAGCGTGACATAAATACTGTAAATGATGTGTCACGACAATCACTGTTCGCTCTTCTTCCATCAAAAACTCAACTATTCCATTTTCCATTAGATGGGCGCCTACATGGACGTCTAGGGAGGCTAGTGGATCATCCTGGGACGATAATAGAAGTCTCTAAAGTTATGTAATCGTTTGTATACACTAACTATACATTACATATGCGTTTTTGCAACTCAGATATATAATAAAAAATTGCAGTGTCACTGATTTGATTCAAAGCAGTATTTCAAAGCAGATATCTACTGAAAATATTGAAGTTCATGACAAGGAACTAGATACACAAACTCCATAATACACCACATAATATACATAATGCGATGATGCCAGTCTGTATACTAAGGCATGCACCTGATACGTATGTCATGACATATCAATACATACCAATATGACTATGTCTGTTCGGCTATACAAAGCTCGTGCTACACTTATTCGTTGTTTCTGACCTCCACTTAGATTTATGCCTTTCTCTCCAATCTCAGTGTTATCGCCGGCCAACAGAATATCTATGTCTGGCTGAAGTGAACAAACGTCCAATATTTGCTGATATCTAATGAGGGATTGCATACATACAATTAGATTCAAACTACATCATTTAAATCATTCATATAATTGCCATATCGATCGTACTATCATTACTACTCCTAATATATCAACGTGAAGCGTAATACCTTTTATAGTCAAACGGTTCTCCAAACAGAATGTTT